CATAATATAGGTACATAGAAAACACCCAGACCGATATATACAAATGTTTGTACCATGTAAAAATCGAACCCACCACCATCGGGTGTAAAGCGGTATGCTCAACCGCTAGACCACCGAGGTCGTCAAAGACTTCAGCTTTGTTTGTTAGTACAGATTTATAGATTCCCATTTCTTAGTAGCTCGTCGTTATGAAGAGTATAAAATCCACGGCTCGAGTAACGGGCGAGCACCCGCGCGCCGTACCAAAGATAAACAACTGACAAAAATATCATAAATTCATACAGCCACAGAGAAAAGTAAAAAAAAAATGTATTTAACATATATCTCACTTTTGTGGATGGCCGCCAAGCGCGCAAGGATAATGTGGATAGGACCGTCTGAGTTTAACACGAGAATGTTTATTCGATTGTCACAAATATCAAATTGTGATAACTAGTGATCGCCTGGTAGATGAAATTCTACCACAATTAAATTATAAGTTTATTGACAACCATTACATTGACATTTTATGCATTGATTTTTTTTATGATTATTTTTGCACCGCCAACAATTATTCTCAGCTACGGTTGACTGGTGTAAAATATCGCATGGTGTTAAGTCCGCCAAATGTACGGTTACATATATGTATATATAAATATCCATTACTAACAATCCCGTCCCTCTGTTCTGTCGAATTAGTTATAATGCGTCGAATTAGTTATAACTGACTCGACCTTATGGTCACCCTACTCGCCCTATCCTCCACTTGTGCCTTGCCAGCGTATACCCTTAGAGCAGACCAATAAACATTTCATTATCATCCATTAAAAAATACATCAATGGTGCTACGAATAAGTACATTCAACTAAAATTAAAACTAATTTAATTCTTGTCATATCCATATGAAGATCTCCTTCATTAGCTACACAAAACCAATGACATTTACCATCGCAATGCATCGTGACGTAACGACCTAACTCCAAATATGACCAAATGTAAATGAACTTTAATTGCACACTCATAAAGTTAAAATTCAAATTAGTTTTATATTAACACTACAGTCATTCATACAGGTGTGAAACTTATGACATTTGAAAATGGAAGCGTACGAACGCAACCATTTTAAATTTGATTTTTTTTTTAATATCAAAATCAGTCTGTGGTAACGTGACGACTTTTTTTTAGTACTTACACGAACTTAGTACTTAGTTTTTTTTTAATTATGCTTTTTTATTCATAATTATTGATTGAATGTGAGAAACTCTCAAGAATTTAACTGTAGTCAAATTGCATAGGTTAAAAATGTTATTATATTAATATATTATAACTAGCGGCCAGACAGTACATAATCATAAATTAGTGTAATTTGTTTATTTGATTGAAGGCTCTAATCTTAGTAAATTTATGAAGGAAGGCAGTGTAACATCACGCTACGTACCAATAGAAACGGGTATTTTGATAGAGCATTCTTGAAAATTATTGCATAAATGGGATTTTTTTTTTAAGTTTTCTTACCTTTTATATGGCCAGTGGCTAGGGATGAAGTTGCGCGACACCAGTGCGTATGCAACAGTTGTAAATACTGATGTAATTAATAATGTATATATTAACCCTGGACAATTCAAAAGCACCATCTATCCTTAAACAGAGCTGTGTGTTATAGGTACTCAGACAACTGATACAAATATGTACGTAGATGCGTTTTGTAAATACCGATGTAATAGATATGTAGGTATATATAGAAAACTGCCGGACCGATATAAACAATTATACTTATGAATGAATAATACAAACTAATAGATATACAGCATCATTTCATATATGTCTACATGCAACCAGAAACTCTTAGTCCTTAAGTTGGGTCAAGTAGCAGGTGGTTATGTGGGACGGTAATCACTTAGCATCACGATAACCGCATGCGCGTTTGCCCTGCGCTCTAAAAAAATAATCTCATAACTATATTCCCGCCATAAACAAAATAAAATGGCCGCCCATCATCGGTTGCTAAGTGGCTATTTACGAGCATCGTATCAATTAGAGACTCTGTTCGAATTGAAATTAGGTACGTATATTAGGGTGGTATTACGTTATCAACTAATAATAACTAATATTATTGACGGCCTCGGTGGTCTAGAGGTTTATCACACCGCTTTACTTACGATGGTCGCGGGTTCGATTGCTAACACAATATAAACATTTGTTTTATAAGTATGAATACAAATGTTTGTGTAGTTCTGGGTGTTTTCTATGTATAGTATGTATTTAAAAAAAGTATCTAAGTATTATTAATTGTTTAGTACCCATAACACAAGCTCTGGAGGGAAGGGGATTATTAGTAATGGGGTCTAGTGTCCCCATATATATATATATATATATATATATATATATATTAATATATTCAAAAAAATCCAAGCTGACAAAGTTAAGGAATGAATTAGGCTCCATTTGTGTTAGAAATTTCATCAATTTCATTAAAATAAAGTTAAATTCCAAGCAGACGAATCTGCGGTTAACAGCTAGTGTATTATAAAAAATGGGTTCTATAATTTCGTTTTCATAGAATAGTAAAAGTAAAAAATTAAGGAATCAATAAATAACTCAACTGGAGTTGTAAGTAAGAAGTGCGTCTGCAATACAAAATGGCTGCTCCTGTTTTTTTTAATAAAAGAAGGATTAAGTTGACCGTCGCCGTCATTAACAATATTATCATTAGGTTTATAATGAAACACCATCATTGCCAGCTCTTGTTCTTTGAAAGTCCTTTTGTCTTCACATTTCTAACAATGTAAGAATGGTTGTTATATTTTGTTGGATTTATTGTCGCCGTTCCAGCAATGTTACTTACTTTCTGTGATTCTGTGACGTTTTTTTTTTTTGGGTAAAATCTCCTTTTGTTGTTATTGTGATATTTAAAAAGCTCTTTTTTATAGCAAATAACTAATTTTACATATTAGTTATAGTTTAAAACATTTCTAAGTATATAATATGGGTGCCCACATTATATACTTAAAAATGTTTTAAATTGTAACTAATATATAAAATTAGTTAGTTGCTAGACGTCTCTGAAACGGCTAGACCGATTTTGATGAAATTTTATATCTAGATTTATTTATGACTTCCTAAGTCATCTATTTTTTATACTCCTAAATTATATGAGTGCCTTCCCTAAATTTGTTTTAAGTATTTTTACAGAAACTTCTTACTTTTTACTCTTCTACCATCAACTCCTATTTTTTATTAGCTAAGTATATCATTTTCAATTGCCAGGGAATTCAAGTTTCACTATAATACCGAAATATTTTAAATTTGCTCACCCAAGCAACTTCGTCTGTATCAAACTTAGGTACATACAATACATACAATTTATATAATATATTTTTAAATTATACCCTATGCGTTATTCTGATGCATAAGATACATTACTGTAAAGTTTCATCAAAATACGTTCAGGAGTTTTTCTGTGAAAGGGTAACAAACAGCCATCCCTATTCAACTTTTGCGTTTATAATATTAGTAAGACATAGAGTATGAAGATAAGTACAAAAGATGATTCTAAGTGAGATTTTAATTTAATATATTATACTGACAAACCAAGTTTTTTTAATATCACTTTTCAATGATAAATTTATAAAAAAACATCTATTCAAAAGAGCAACACACAAGTTTCTTGCTCATTCTTCTTGTGATGAATCTGCATTCCGAATGAGTGGTAGAATCAAAATATGACTATTCAAAAGTGCTTGTAATGAGTTTATTTGAATAAAGATTATTTCTATTTCTATTTCAAATGAACTCTTTGTTATTTTAATGGGTTGATGTTTCTTTTTCTGGGATAATAATGTACCTAATGATGCACTCACCTACGTCAAACGATGATATGATGAGGATGTCAGACCAGTCAGCCAATAGTGGCGAATTGATTAAAATAGTTACCAGAGGGACCGCGTGGAGGTCGACCTGACATGGTACCTACATTGTTAGTAATAGGTCTATCTACTATCCCCATTACTGACAATCCAGTCCCCTGATTTGATGATATTGTTATATTATATACCTAAATAAAAATAATTCCCAATATTATATAATACTGTTAGCTACAAGGAGTAGCAGTACAAGACTACGTATAGACACTTTCGGTCGACCACCACGCGGACCCTAGAGGGTTACCTACTAGAGTAAGCATCGTAGTCAATTCCTGGTGAATACGATAGAAAAGGGGATTATTAGTAATGTGGACTGATGACGCTATTGCTAGCAATGCAATATCAGGTTGACCTCCACGCAGTTCCCCTTGGAAACCATCGTGATAAATTCCTGGTGAATGTGTCACGATGGGCTTACTGACCTGACCTCATGTTCATCTTATCATCTTCTACTGGAGCACCAGCCAGCATAGGTATACTGTTAGCACAGACGGTGGCACATAAAAAAAATAACTCAATAGATACGATGGGCGAACTGACCTGACTTCAAGTTTATCCGATAATTCTCCACAGACGCCCATTTTAAAATACTTCGTTTATTAATACAAAATTACTTACAAATTAATATTTAACCAACAATAAAAAAATGATACTACTTTATGCGAAAAAACATAAAAAATCATATAATAAATCTTCTTTTTGTAATAGCTAACCCATAAATTAAAACAGTCATGTATTAAAAAAGATAAAAATGTACAGAAGATTTGCATGCACACAATAAAATCAAATAAAAATAATCTTCAACTGTGGTGACCGCAACACTACAAACAAACCCCTGAAACAAAGAACTGACCGGGTCCAACGTACAATGGCTGCAGTTTCTCGGGACCACCTACCAAAATCACGCCTATTGTGCCCACAGTTGCTACAACTAATTTCAGGTAACCACAGAGAAAAAATGTCGCGAAATAGATAACAAACATCATTATCTATTCCTTTTGTTCTTTTTTTTTTTACCTGAAAAATTATGTCGCTCGGGCGGGGAGGGTCTCGAGACGCGAGGGGCGACTCAGTGCGGCAGTCTGGTTTGAACCACGGCCGTGTTCGTATAGAACGCGTCGCCCGACCTGTACCCATACTATAGGACTCGCGGTTGTAACACGGACAGTGTAGTGTATTGTTTATTTTTGAATTTCGAATACCTAATATTTTTGAATTTCGAATAAAGGCCTCATTTTGTACAACGAATATACACTTCGGTTTTACACGATTACAAACTGATTTTCGTTTCTGTTAATCGGACTTTGACAAGGACGTGTAATTAGGAAATCGAAAGTCACTGATTAAGTGAGTTTTTTTCGCGATAAGATAATTTCACGAAGGAGCGTCGCATTGGTTCCACGTTCGTGCCAAGTGATTGATCGTCGCGTTTCATTAACAGTGCGATTATCTAGTTTTATACTGAGTGCGTTCATTAATATTTGAAAGTTTGGATTTTATGCGAAAAAGGTAAGTTTTTTCATGACAATTGTTACATGATAATTGTATTTACATTTGTTAATAGGCGTATTCTGTCAACGGCGACGGTATTTCACTGTGCGGTTACGAAACGCGCGTCCTTTGCTGCTTGTTTACAGACAAAATAAAAAAAAATGTTTGACATATAATACTCACAAAATGTCATTGACCTATAGTAATTCCTTTAATACTAAACATGTGTAGATATTTTGTATGTTTACCCTCGAATTTGATTATTAGCTTGAAAATGAATTTTAACAACAAAGGAATTTCTTTGATAATTTGCTTCTGCAAGTTTGTTAGCTTTACTACAATATATTTTTACAATAAAGAATAGATAAGTGTTACAAATATTGTTTTAAACTTATTGTTTACTGTTGTTTATAAGTTGGATCTCTTAAATAATACTAGTCACCGACTTATAGTCGAAATTGCATCAGTTTTAACATTATTGAGATTCTTTTGTCTTATTTTATTGATTTAATGCATTTTTAAGCATAATTAAAACGAATATTATCATTCTGCACTAATTCTCTATGTAAACTATAAGCGTGCAAAATTTCATACTCTCCGGCCGCGCACTTTCTGTAAAGTTTTTGCTTTACATATTAATATAGTGATAATCGTTATAAATATCAAATTTCTATTATATACACTATTTAATATAACTGATAACAATATGTATTGTTTTTATACAAAGTACCATAGACAAATGAAATAGTTTTCCGAGTCATATTGTATAGTTTCATAAACACTATTACTCAGCAGACGCGTGTTACCTACTTTATTTAGGCCTATCTGTAATGTCAACAAATCGATAACAATTACAGATATCGAATCGTATTCACAAAACTTGATTTTAAATAAACACTAATTTATCAATTTATATGACAAATGCAAAAAATATTCTTTGTTTTAGACACATTTTTATTCTTTGCTACCTTTGGCCGCGGTTTCGGCTGTTATTCTGGTATATAAACTATATTACTGTAAAGTTTCTTAAAAATCCGTTCAGTAGTTTTTGCGTGAAAGAGTATCTAACAAACATCCATCCATATAAACTGTCGCGATTATTATTACTAGTTGTGCCCGTGGTTTCATCCGCGTTAAATATTCAATAAAAACTTAGCCTATATGTTATTCTGATGTTTAAGCTATATTATTGTAAAGAAAATCCGTTTAGTAGTTTTTGCGTGAAAGAGTAACAAACATCCATCCATACAAACTTTCGCGTTTATAATATTAAGATTAAGATAAGATTTAGCATTGTGATTTTCTTTATAAAGAATAGATTTGAATCCATATTAAATTATTACAAAAACACGTTAATATAAACAACTAAGTACATTAGTTTATAGTAAAATAAGCCTGACGAATATACATAGAAACAATATAACGTCTCCAAGGATACATCCTCTAAGTAAACCGACCGCTTTATTATACATTTTCGTGTTTCTTTAGATTATTTCCTTTTGTCTAGCTCCTAAGGATACCAACGTGATGATTTTTTTTATGGATGATAATGGAATGGTGCATCCGCCTGCGCTAACGGTTTACGCTGGCGTGGCGCCAGTGGAGGATGATAAGATGAGCATGAGGTCAGGTCAGTTAGCACGTTGTAATAAATTCACTAGGAATTTATCACGATGGTTTCTAGGGGAATCGCGTGGAGGTCAACCTGACTTGGTACATTGGTAGTGATGAGATCATAAGTCTACATTACTAACAATCCCCTTTCCACCCCCAGTACAAGTGTTGCGTTCACCATGATGAATCGCGTGGAGGTCAACCTGACTTGGTACATTGGTAGTGATGGAGTAGGTAATTAGTTCACGGTACTAACGATACCTTCCCCCCAACTGTGATGCAGTTATTTGCGCCAGTCTCGAAAGCCAGAACTATTACATGTAACTAAATACCTATCTAATACTAGTAATGGGAACTAGTAACCCCTATTGCTAGAAAAGTACCATGTTAGTTCGGTTCTACCTGGAAACCATCGTGATAAATTCCTAGTGAATTTATCACGATGTGCTAACTGACTTGATCTCATCCTCATCTTATCATCCTCCACTGGTGCTCAGCTAGTGTAAACCGTTATCGCAGGCGGGTGCACCACTTCAGTATCGTCCCAAAAAAAAAATATTATTATTATATAATTATTATATATATGTTACGAGTATATGAGTACATACCTAAATACTTTGTTTACATATTGTTAATAAAAAAATATTTCCTATTACCAAACTTAATCATTTAGTCCGATAATACCAAATCTATCATTCCATTATCTGGACGTGCAGATAACAGAATCTGACAATTGATTGCATGCAGCAATAGTTGTTAAAATTACATTAATTATCTCAAATGATAACTATTATAGGTTTAACACTAATACAGTTTAAGAATAATAATTAGGGCCGATTCTTGTAACTGCACTTTTTGCACTTTTTTTCTTAACTCTTAACACACTTACAAGTAGTGTGTTTTAATGCTGGGAGGTAATATGTAATGATCATAATGAGTAGGTTATGTACGTTATTTTAAGTTTAGAGCCTGTGCCATTTTGTAAGAAGCTAGAATTTTTCCCCAGTTCAAAATTCAAATTCAAAATATTTTTATTCATGTAGGTCTATTACAGACTCTTATGATATGTCAAATCTACAGTCAGTTCGGAATGATTTCGAGATGAGAACTGACAAGAAACTCAGGTCGTGTTTTTTTTTTAAATAAATGTTGTACGATTTCTACTATCCTTCTAGTAACTACCTTTCAATGATAGGTATACATATAATATATAAGTTTTAAATAAAATCAAAAATAATTCATTCATGTAGGATATTTACAGTAATATTAAATATAAATAAAGCGATCAACGCGTGTTGCCAGTGATGACTTACGGCACAGAGATGTGGTCACTAACTATGGCCTCATGAATAAGCTCAAAATCACTCAGAGGACAATGGAGAGGGCTATGCTCGGAATTTCTCTGCGTGATCGTAACAGAAATGAGGGGATCCGCAGAAGAACCAGAGTGAAAGATTTATTTATATTATTAACCGGGTTTATTTTACCTCTCCCAACGTTTCTACTAAGTTGCACTAGCCGTGGTCACGAGCTGACTGGTCAGTAACTACCTTTATTTGCTATAAAATTATTTGTGTTAAGACCTGGTTAATAATATAAATAATGCATAAACTATATATTTTTTCGTGATAGAGTCACAAACATCCATACTTACAAACTTTCGCGTTTATAATATTATTAAGATATGGCAACATTTAGTCACCCTCGGCGAGTTTATTCGTATGGGCAAGGTAATATTCGTACCCCTATGGAAATGAAAATTATTATTGAATAGAGCAAGGGCGGGGGTATATAATAGATTGGGTGTATGTCTGTACGTTACAACGTATCTACAGTCATTGTTCGGTGTACAATAGATATAGCGACACATACGAGCTAACTGCACATTGTACTGAATTGGGGTGATGTTTTCTATACCTTTCCATACCTATGTATAAATTAGTATAAATATATAAAAAATCTCGTGTCACAATGTTTGTCACCGAACTCCACCGGAACGTTTTGATCGAATTTGTATAATGTAACTTTGCCCGCGGTTTCAGCGCCATGAAATTTATAACTTATATATTATTCTAATGTAAAGTTTCAACAAAATCCGTTCAGTAGTTTTTGCGTGAAAGAGTAACAAACATCAATCCATACTCACAAACTTTTTATAATATTACTAGATGTACCCGCGGTTTCACCCACGTTCAATTTCAGTATATAAATTTCATTAAAAAATATAGCCTGTATTATTCTGATGCATAAGCCATATTACTGTAAAGTTTTACCAAAATCCGTTCAGTAGTTTTTGCGTGAAAGAGTAACAAACATCCACACTTGTAAACTTTCGTGTTTATAATATTATTAATATTGAGATAAGGTATAGTACCTAAGCTTCACTTAAGTGAAGCATACAAACAAAACGTGTATTCATTGTAGGTAATACAGATGTCGCTTATGTATTCCAGAATGAGGCCTTGAAAGAATCAATTCCTCAAAACAAATAATAATCCTCTACGGGTGCCTGCTAGCGTATAGGTACCGTTCTACATATAATAAAATAGTACCACTACTCAATTATACGCATTCATTTGATTTTCATTCAACATTTCATTCATTTTCATTCATCAGAAAATAAGTGACATCTGGTGAACAATATTGCTCTATTACAACGAACCCTGTTTAATAAAATGTTTATCTTTAAAATTGATTAATTTAATTTAGAATTATTTTTTCATTTAATGTTACACATAAAAACAGATTATTTTTTACTTATATAGGTGATAGGTATAGTACGGTATTTAAAAAATGTTCAAAATTCAGTTGAGTTTTTGCCAGTTCTTCTCAACTGAATGTATATACTGAACTGGTAGGGAAAAAATAATTAAAAACAATTAACGTCCATAAACATCTAAAATGTCATAAATGATTTTTTTTATTAAGTTAACTAAATGAAAAATTTTAATCTGTATATTGAACTGGACGGTAGGGAAAACTAAATGATACAAAAAACGTGACATTCATAAGCGTTTAAGTCTAAAATGTCCTAAAAGATATTTAATTTTAACGCAATGAAAAATTTAAATTTAGAATTTAAATGGAACATGTTTAAAATTTCGTAAAATTAAAACAATATACTTACGTAATATATGTTAATTTTGTATTGGTTTGAATACATTTTTGTTCAATATCTATTCTATTCTATATTTAAAATTTTAAAGGCTCCCATTCACGTGCACTCATTCCGCCTACATTAGGGTGGGTGCACAGTCGCCCTCGACTCGTTTCAGAAGGCGTGTCCGGACAAGTTCTGCCTCCAATTTATGACTTTCCGACTTCACCCCAGCGGGCGTGTTTACGATCTTATTTGGAGAAACCTTATCTTTATAAGGTAGTTTATGAGTTAACTTTAACTGCCT